CATAAATCTGCAAGTTCGTCTATTTTAATTGAATCGATAAATTTGTCTTTAATTCAATAGCTAAGTCATTTTGTTATGTTTATGTTATTATGTTCATTTTGATTTGATGCTCATATATTTTTTTCAGGAAGAGCTGGCTAGCAGCTCGGCATCCGGCTCTGCGAACGGCGCTGCTCCAGCTGCGCCACATCCAGTGAAAAAATACGAGGTGTCTTAGCACTATTCACTTTTCCTTGCTAAAATCAACTTGACATTTTTTAAAAACCATTTCAGGTCGGTGATCGTGTTATGGCGCCTCTACCTAATGGTAATCGTGCTGTTGCAGTAGTTGACTCATTAACGGCGGCTGGAGTTGCAGTCATTTTCATTAGTAAGTTTTTGGATTACGCTCCTTCTGTAGCGTATTTCTCAAGCTTCTGCCACCGTTGAGATTTAATCTGATTTTTTAGACCACAATGAAATTTTCTGAATTTTCAGCATTTCGCAAGTTTCTATGTCTAATTTAGGCAGTGGCCAGAAGACCATTGTGGACCCTTCTGATCTCACTGATGCTCCAGACGCTCATAAGAAACACTACGTTTTTGATTCTGGCCGCAATGGCATTTCCAAAACAGCTTCAAACAAGAAGGAATGGCTGGTAAAAAAAATTCAACCGTTTTCTTCCTCTTTTTTCCCAATTTTCTTAGTGTATTCCAGGCCGAACGAGAACGGCGGCGTATGCGAGCACAAAAAAAGGAGTTGAAACGTAAAGAGCTAGATGTCGCTAAAGAAAGTGAAAAAAATAACTGGCTGAAGTTTACTAATAAAGCCCTTAGCAAGGGTATCAAGGTGAGCATAATTTTCATAGCTTCTCTACGAGGTTCCGTTCATTTAATTTGTCCGGTTATCGAGTTAGTAATTAATTTTGCCTAATTGAAGGCTTTTATTGTTGCTGTGCCAGTCAGCTAGCTTGTTTCATCTCTCAATTCCTTCTGTTACAGAATCCGTGGTTAGTTGATAAGGCCATAATCTCAGCTACCTTTGGTAACATTGGATTCCGCATTGCAGACAGTATTCTTTTTATCTATGACGATTCGTAATGTTTGCATTTTCAGGGAATGAAGCGCGTCAGTGCCACAGGATCCGCACAAGATGGTCCTGCAGGAGGTCAGTCATACTTTTGGGAATTATAACTTCATCTTTTATCAATCGAAACCATGGTTTTTCTACTCCCTTGAATCTTAGACTTTGCTGTGGTTTGAAGTTTTTGTGGTTTTCTTCGTCTTTTGCTTTAATTTTAAATATAGTTTTCATTTCAGGAATGAAATCGCAAACATTGGTATCTTCTCGAGCTAATCAATT